GGAGTGGACGTATACTATCCCCGATCGACAAATCCTTTAACGAGAGCTTGAAGGAGCTTTTGGACGAGCTTACTCCCAAATCATCTGAAGTAACTAGGACATGGCTGAACAGAAATATCCTCGTGGCCTCCTCCGAGACTTGGCCCAATCAATTAATTGCATATCTTTATATTATATTATACATAAATTATATTCAAATGTTATAATTTATAATTTCATCAATTATATTGTCGAGCCAACTATTATACAACATAAAATTTTGTTCATAAAAATTATATTATTTCAATGATTTTCTTATGTTGAATTGAGAACAATTATGCATTATTCTTCTTATTTTTTTTAAAATTTGTTGTGATTGTATTAATGTGTTAAAAATGTATTACAAATGAGTAAGATGATAAATTATGAAAGTATAATTTATATATTGTAATGACATTATGTTATTTTGATGATATACTTTTTCAATTAACTTAATAGTGTCCCTATATGAAATTATTTTGGATCCGCCAATGCAGTTAGATTTCTAATGGAACTTCAACTGAAATTTTTATAATTTAATTGACAGTTTTTTTAATGGTTGAAATATGGACAGAAAAAGAGTCCAACGAAATTCATGCAAGAATAAATAATGGTAATTAGAATCAATAAATCCACTAAAACTTCTATTTAATTTAATTTGATCTTTGATGGAATAACTAATGAAATTTTTCAATAAAAGTTGTACCAACGAAATATTTATTGAGATTTTCAGTGGAATAACATATCGTTGGTTTTTCATTGCAATATAACATTTTTTCTTAAACATTAAAATTTTTATGTTGTAATTTTCTTATTAGTAATTGTGTTTACAAATACTGTATAGAAAATATATTAAACACGTGAACTTTATTAGGCTATGTATATTTTATAGAAATCACTCATTCTTTTATCTCAAGATTGATTATTAATTTATCAAATGAATTACACTTCTTACATATTAAACATTAAATAATAAATACAATTTTTAATATATGCAGTATTATATTTTTATATTATTTTAAAAAAAACTAATGAAAAATAAAAAGTTATTTAGAATTATAATAATCATTTTTTTTTTTTTTTTTGTAAATGAAAATTCTAACTTACAAAGATAAAAGTACAAGTAACTATTGTCTATCACCTAAAACCTACACATAGAACTAATAAGCACAAAAACTTAACAATCGTTGAACAATTCGACTTGTTCACATTGATAAACACAAGTTTTAATAGTTTTTTATTTAAGATTATTTATTATATCTTTTCTATTTATTTCTTTTCTTTTTCATATATTTGTAAGTTAGTTTTACAACTTAATTTATACATTTAATATTATTTTTTAAATTTAATTTTACTTTATAGTTCTTACATATGATTTTTAAAATATATTTATAATATATATATATATATATATGTATATATATATTACCTTTTAGATTTCTAAAAAATAGATAAAATTAAGCATTAAACTTTTTTGGTCAATAGGATGTATTCATGTGAGAAGTAAAAAAAATATTAATGATAAATTTTGTAACAAAAAATGGAGGACAAATCTTAAAGGTTTTTATTAAATAAGTTTTAATAAATACTATATTCCTGCAATTATATATATATATATATATATATATATATATATATATGATACCAATTGTAACACCCCTCCTTACTGTCAAATCAGAGTGCGCAATAATTCGCAAAGTCTTTGAAAAATAAACCTTTTTACTTTGCGAAAACTGATTAGGGGTGCTACCTTTAGAAATCGTGACTTTACTTAGAAAACCGTTATTTTAATTTTTTTATAAAATAGTCCGGTTACTGAAAACATTAGTTTCTTAAAAGTTCGTCAAAAGAAATAAGTTCGTCAAACGAGTACTTCAAAGGTCATAGAAACATCATCCAAAAGTCATCAAGTATCGTAAGCGGAAGCGTAAGTCATAATCATATTTATACAGTCCAAAATATAAATATCCTGAAGTCCCCGTCACGTCACGTCACGCTCCCGGCCCGACATCCTGACCTGAAAAACATGATAAAACTGGGGAGTGAGCACTATGGCACTGTGCCCCGTGGAAACTCATACCAATGTAAAACAGTGAAAATAATAACAATATCATGATCCTGGCATATATAAATGAACTGAAACTGATATCTGATACCGGTCTGAATAATCTGATACTGATCTCGTGACATAAGTCACGTCGTGACATAAGTCACGTCTGAACTGAACATCTGCCGGCAAAGCCGGACACCATATGCACACTCTAGTGGGCAGACTAGGGCCACTAGACCCAGAATGGACCGGCAACCATTCCGAGCGGATACTGAATATACATACCTCAAACATGGTAGCGATATTATAATCAATGTAGTACTTAGTCTGAGTCCCCACCTGAACTGCTGAACTGAAAGGTAGTGCTGATGCCTGCTCAAACTGAAAATAATATAAACAATTACTATTGACTATGCTCAGACTGTTTACTTAACTGATTAATTTCGTTAAGATGCTCTATTTAACTTAACATGATATTTTGACTTATCTGGAATAACCGGAACTGAACTGATTGCACATGATTTTACTGAACTGAAATAATCCCGGAAATTAATTGAAAGTATCCTTAAAATGGTAAACCGGGCTAAAACGGCTGAACCGGATGAAAATGAAGCTGAACCGGTCCAGCCGGTCTGAACCGGTCTGGACCGGACTGCGGTCCGACCGAACTGGTGATCGGCTGGGCTCGGCCAGCAGCCTGCCGCGTGCAGCGCGCAGCGTGCACGGGCGCTGCTGGCTGCTGCGGGGT